ACTGTCTGATTGTCTGCTTTTCGGGTCTGACTGTCTGAGTGTCTGACTGTCTGCTTTTCGGGTCTGACTGTCTGACTGTCTGACTGTCTGCTACGCGGTTCGGGCCCCATGCCGCGACCTCAATCAGAATGCGCAACTGGAATTCAAAGAGACTTTTCTGTACCGAATAGTACCTGGTTGCAACTTGGGTTTCCCCTACCGAGGGAAAATGAAATTCCTACGGTAGCTATAGTAGTCCCTGCATCCTCTCCTTTCATCCCTCACTGGCCTCCAGTAAACTTGGTTGGGGGTGAAGGGTGCCGGCGCCCGTGTCATGTGAGGATTGCTCTCGATGTCCTTTTGGTTCGAAGTTACAACCATTGCTAGTAAACCTTACAGAGAGCGGGGATCAAAGCAACTAACAAGCACACCACTCCATACTGACGATGGGATAGCCTGTGCACCATCTTAAGCACCCTAGATCCTGTGAATAACTGTTAGTGGGAAGCCTCGGGTGATGAAATTGTCCTCCATCAGCACTTAGCTGAAGTAGACACCCCAGCAGTTGTCTATGATATGTGTGTTCCTAAGATAATGGTTTTATGTGCCCTCAAGGTATGATCAACAACTCCCGTTGGCAACCCGCAGGGGGGGTTCCATAAATGAGCATGTTCCCATAGTAAGGATGAAAGCATACCAGTGTATATTGGGGGGGCCCTTATTTTGGGAAACTACCGAAAACCACCGCATACCTCGACCTCCTTCGACGGTGGGATCCCCTACCTTTGCAGGAGACTCTCCTGGCGGAGCATGGCCATGCGGATCAGCATGTCCTGTCAGTCAGCTGCAACACAGGCCTACAGTGGATTCTACAAGTCCTGCATGACCCGAAGTACCTCATATCTTGGGTGTTGTGGGGCTAAAGTCATGCCAACCCTAAACCCTAAATATCAACAGTATCGCGCAGCCTTTTTCGCCGTTAAACACCACGAAGTGGCTGGGCGGGCCTCGCCCCAGTAGCCCCAGGGCACTAGAATCCGACCAAGACGTCCCACGGCTCCACGCTCGACTACGTTAAGCCTCAGAGGTCTAAAGATTCCGGGTGTGTATTCAGGAGTATAGTATAGGAATCTATATGTTAGGGTCTATAACAGGGGGTTATGAAGCCTCAGAGGTTCAAAGTTCTGGGTTCAGGTTCGGAGTTCGGGGTTTGAATTTTTTGCTTTCTAGAAGAAGGCTAAGCAGTTTCTTCCTGGGTACGACAGAAGCGGCATGACCACCTCAAGGGTTTAGGGGCCCAGAGAGTCAAACCGTCGACAGGATCACCACAGGCAGTAACGTGGTTGATAGAGACTGGGCAGCTGTTGCGGAACTGAATTTAAGTTGCTACATTGGGGAAACCATATGAAATACGATGTATACCCATTATGGTAATCTACTTCAAGTTCCCCAACAGCAGCCTAGAAAACCCCTCAGCCCTAAACCCTGGATCTAAAGAAAACTTTCTGGGCCAGATAAGGGGCCAAACACAATTCCAAGGCAGGAGCTTTTTCGTGGATACCCCCCCTAGAATTATGGATGACAATTTCCAGACGCCCAGAAACCGTCAGGTATAGGTTTAAGATGGTTTAAGGTGTAGGTTGAAACCCGAAAAGTTTGAAGCGTGTCCATTTAGGACCTTTATTTCTTCCTGCGCAGAACTGGACCTTTTTGATGACTTTCTGTTCTAGAGGGGTCCTTATGAGTCAAAGCCTCAAAGTCTTTCCAGCACTAAGTTCTTCGCTGAACGGGCTTCTCTATGACCTCCCGGCGCTCATAGAACATGGGCACCTCAGCTGTGGAGCAGCTTGGGGGCCGTCTGGCGCTGCAAACAGACTTCATGGACTCTGCAGTAAAGATCCCCCAACATCCCTTGAATAAGAATGTGGTAAGGGGGCCGGAGACTCAATTGCTAGCGTGGGAGGTGGGCATTGCAGAAGTAGGTAAGGCTGCGACAAAATTCTTAGCGCAATCCTCGCGGAATTGAGCTTTGGTTCCTGCCAACACGTGGCAGACTGCTTTGACATGCTATGCTATGCTGATGAAACAGACTTCCTCAATCCTAGCAGGGCAGCTACACAACTCTTCATTCAATAGCCAGAGCTGTGCTCATCTGACCACTAGCCGCAGGCCGCTAGCAAGCACGTCACGGCCTTTAAAGAACCAAATGTGGTTGATGTAGTGCGACCTCAGAAGCACAACACAATCATCAAATCCAGGGCAGAGTTGTCAGGCACTCGGGCGAAGTTTGCAATGTCAGCTTTCCATGCAAGCTAGGAATTTCTTCGATCCTCAGTGAACTACCAGTACATCCGCCGCCAGCTCCACCGCCACTGTAACCACTCCAAACGTGCAGTGGGGCTTCTATCATGACTCCTTGTCAACTCACTAGGTGTATCCTCGTCCTCTGTTTCGAGGTGATCGTGGGTGAAACCCGCGACATGCAGCGGAACGCCTCCATCAGTCTGCAGCTTTAGATTACTTATACAGCCGTCTGGGCGCATGTGCTTGGACTTTCTTGCGGGAGTTAGTTGCCGAAGCAGGGACACCTAAAATGTGAGAATTGCCCTCGGCGTGTACTGCAGGTGGGACAAATTTGATCATCGCATCTTCCTCGCGAACTTGCCTCTCAAAGCTTTCAGAACGCCCATTGCAATCTGCTGAAAGCATTCTGAAGGCTCCAGGCAATCACAGACACTGATCTGAACCCTTAACCACCTTTAACCACTGCATTTAATCCTTTAGCCCGAAACCATAGACCGTAACACCTGCCCTACCCTTCATCCCCTAAACCCTCAACCCCTAAACCCTAAATCCCTAAACCCTGAACCGTTTGCCTAAACCCTAGTCCCTAAAACCCTAAACACTAACCCCTAATCCCTCAACCCTAAACCCTAAAACCCTAAAGCTCTAAACCCCCGAAACCTCTCAAAACCTAAACCCCTAAACTAAATCATAAACCCCAAGTAAGGCAGCCACGCCATCTGCCGCGCCACGGTACCCCGGAGGTCTGCTCCGAGCCCTTCCCAGGCATCCTGGCCGAAAAAATACTGGTGGGTTTAGGGTGGGCTTTTAGGGTTTAGGTTTTTTTGGGTTTAGGGTTTTAGGGTATAGGGTTTAGGGTCTTGGTTTTAGGGCTAGGGAATAAGGGAATATGATCCCTATTTAACTCCTCTATATATATATATTCCCATATTCCCTACTAATCCCCAGTAAGAAAAGTTGATACTAAAAACCCTGCATGACTTTATAGGGTTTAAGGTTTAGATGGCTGTGAGGTTTTGGGGTTTAGGGTTTAGATGACTCTATAGGGTTTAGGGTTTAGATGACTCTATAGGTTTACGGCTTAGCTGACTCTATAGCTTTTGGGTTTAGGGTTTACATGACCTTATAGGGTTTAGGGTTTAGGGCTTGACTCTATCTACCTGAACTGTAGTCTGAACTCCTGAAAGGCTGGATATAAAGGGGATTATATAGGGGAGTATTATAGGGCTTCTTACGGGGGATACTAGGAGTTCAGACTAAAGCTCACCTCATACCTTGAGAAACATGGGGACAGAGGGCCGCTTTTTGTTGCACTTGTGTCCACCTCTGAGATTGGGGGGCTAGTGGGGCTTTGGGATGTTGAAGACGAAGATTCCAGAGAGTTCTGTAGAAAAAGGATGCAGAGGGATCATAAAGGATGTAGAGGGATCATAGTAGGGCTGTAACGATGAATGCAGCAGCTATCTGAAAGCTGCATACGGCACAGTTTCATAATCGTATTGAACGGGAACATCTTTAGAATGAGCTTTCGAGCGATCAGTAACTTCCCCCACTGTTACACTAAAACTATCCAGGCGACTTCAGCCCAACGCCGAGTTCAAGCAGTCCTGCTTATGGGCCGTTATACTTGAGTTAATAGGCAAACTCAGGCCTATGTTAACAGCCGCACGTGCAACGCCCCAAGAAGCTATAAGTAATCACCGAGCCGTCAACATGCCGGAGCCACGATATTGCGGAGGTAATGCATGTGAAACCGCTGCTCTCCTTGGTCGAAGCCCAGCGGGTAAAAAATGTGGTTCTCAAAATGGGGGGGGGGGGCTCTTGCGTGAAGGGTCAGGGGGACAGAGCAAATAGGGTCGCAACCCCTATAAGCTACCTGAAAACATCCCCAATTATACGCAAACCTTAAACCCTAAACCCCAAACCCGAAACCCTCAACCCTCCTGACCCTCCAAGTGGGACCCTGGGGATGCTTCTTGGGGATGACAAAGATATTATGGAGGTTGATTAGGGGTTTAGGGCTATTTGAGAACCCACAACATTAGGGTTTCGGGCGTAGCGTTTAGTATTAGTATAGTCTAAACGCTTAGTATCCCCCTTAATAATGGAAGATCAAATGGACAAGAAAATGGAAATGAAATGGAAACTGCAATGTATAGGGTTATGTAGGGGCTAGATGAGCTCTAGTCTAAACTCCTAGCATCCCACTTAATGACCCCTATAATCCCCCGTTTGACCCCCTTTGAAGGCGTTTAGACCATAGCTCATCTGAGAAACTCTCACATTAGTAGCAAACACCCGCACATGCCGAAACTCTCAAGCCAATCCTCATGGACCTCGGTCAGGCAGAATATGAGCTATAGCCTAAACTCCTTAAAGGGCTTATATAGGGGATTGCAGGGGACTACTAAAGGGATATTACGGGGGATACTAGGCGTTTACACTGACGCTCATATGGCTGCAGAGTTTTGACGGTCTGCAGACTTCTCTACCATGCATGCCTTTGTTCCCCTCCACAACCCGGATGAACTCACCTCTCTACACGTGCAGGTGCCCCAAGGAGAAGAGACTTGTCCTACACTAAGACCTTTAGTCCTTGAATTACCCCTATGCGTTAAACCCTCAGGAGACCGACCCTCGACCTTGCGGGTGTAAGGCAGCTCGGCGTCGGATGAACTCACGTCCACGCCAGCGAATATGCGCCGGAAGGTCCTAACGAGGATTTAGGGTTTTCCTGTAGAGGGTGCACAGCAAAATTTGCGGGAGAAGGAAAATGTGTGGTTCGATGGGAGTAGTTTGGGGCTCGGGGTTTCCAACATTGGCGGCCCCTTTTTGAGAGCCAACCTAATTCGGATTGTAATGGATTGGGGTCCATGTTGGGGCCCCCTATGCATGGGAACTATGATATCCCTATGTAAGCCCAAATACGGCCAAATAAGACCCTCTACAACTTAATGCAAATCCCTTTTGACTCCATAGACAACCACCTAGAACCTAAATTACAATTTCCATTCTATTTTCCATTATCCCAATATTATAACCCCTACATAACCCTACTATTACCCCAATGGGTGCTGGAAGACTCAAGTTCAGGAAGCCCGCGACGTGAGGAGTTTACCTCTAAAGCCTGACCCCGCTTGAGGGAAGGAACTTTAAGTACTTTAAGCCTTCTTTGGCATCAGGTAGGCATATTACAAAACACGAGTGCTGCCCAATTGCAGTTATGAAGGAATGTAGGATACTACCTGGCATTAACTTTGGTGTTTCTCTGATTGGCTTTGGCATGAATCTCCTCCTAAACCCTAGACCCTAAGCCCTGAGAAGCAAACCCTCCCTCTCCTGATCATGAGCCATGGCATTGAAATCGTCAATCCTGCCACCAAGAGATGCTGGACAGCTGCTCTTGCAAGAGCTTGGAAGTTCCACAACAAAAAGGGGATCCTCAAATACACCAAGCACAATCCTCACACTGGACCCTGTTGTTGATTGTATGCTTTAACATCCAAGCCCTACATACACCCAACGTGAGACTCAAAACGTGAGCCACGCTCTTCTGACCTCCGGTGGCCTCACGGAACAGCGATATCTCTAAGGGATTTAGAACCCCAGTAGAAATTATAATTTCAGCTAAACATTAGTATTGTTGGTAACAGAAATTAACAATTATTTTCAGGAACCTTGTAGTGTTGAGTAACTTGAATTAAATTACCATAACATGGGTATGTAGCAAAGAATAAGG